TTGGTGTATATGGTCTAATCAGCAAACATTCAAATATACTTATTTGCTTTATTTGAATTATTGTTCTCATCTTGAATAACAGATGTTATTACAAACGAAACATTGAATTCACGACCACTAAATGACAGTAACAATTAATTAACCAACACCAAATTCACTGCTCTACCGTTCAGAAGGTCATCAGTAGGGTATTTTTCTTGTTGGTGTGATTTCAGTAGGGATGAGCAATAAACGGTATCACAGAAGCAATATAGCACAATCATCAACACGGATATTTAGCAGCCTGAATGGAAACACTCAGATCCCCACGTTAAAACCGACCTTGTGTCACAAACCGGCTCAGTGATGGTGGGGGGTCAAGGTAAATCCCGGATAAGATATCCTATATCAGCCCAAATAATGGACAGATGAAGATAGTCAGGTGGTACTTGTCTGAAACGTTATGTCCACGATAGAATCTGCAATAATTAAAATGAAAGAAATAATTGGAATAAATCAAAATTAAATTCCTCATCTAACAAATTCCAAACGAAATTTAATTTTCCAATTTTAACCAGTTTCCGATCACCAATCCAGTGATACGGAAGACCAACTGGACGCACAGATTCGCTGTAATAGACCTGCTACTTTTAGAAGTCTTTGTGTAACTAGCAGCTACCAAAATAAAAGTTCTCTAATTAACATATATGTATATGTATCGTCATCTAAATTGTAGACATGTCCACGTGTTTCCACAGTAATTCTGACGGACACACATACTCTATTTGATCTTTTCTTTACCTTTTCGCCGAACTTGTGCTTTGCTCTGTCGATCTGTCCTCTTGGTAATTCGAAGCATGCATTAGTGTCTATACATATGTCTTTCCTTTCTCGCATCAGTCAAGTACCCCCTATTAAAAGAACATCTTTCTGTTATCAATGCACTTTTTATGACTCATTTCGTTATTTTCTTCGCGATGACCTTAGAAATGACATTTTTAATGATCCAATTGAAAAATGTGTCACTAAACTATCTTCCTGTGTGAAAGCCAGGATCATAGCTTTCGTGTCAGCATGAAAATTCCAAGGGAACCCACAATTTTCTTCTTGGTTCTTTCCTGTCTGTTCAGCCGCTATAGCCCACAGGAATCACTTTCCCGGTTCCACCAGAGCAACAAATACAAATTGTAACCGATGTTTCATTGTCATTTTTTGTAATGAAAGCAACCGTATCGTCAAAGAAACAAGGTCACTAGTTACTGAGAGAGTGAGACAGTGTAAGTCTCTGAAGTTTTGTTCTAGAGATTACTGGTGGTTGTGCAAGAGTGTGCTGAAAAGAAGCAAATGTTATGTTCCTGTTCTCTTCAATAAATTTGAAGTATTGCCATCTACTGCAGATAAAGCAGAGTACTTTGTTCTGAATTCTCTTCCAACTCCATTCTCGGCTCAGCTGAAATATCTCTACCCGATCCCCACCCACTAGAACGGAGTCTCTACTGAGTAATATACGCATAACACCGCCCTTACTATCATTTCTCAACTGGACCCGCACAAGGCATGCGGATTTGACGGTATCCTGCATTTGTCCTAAAGAAATGACTCCTTAACTGGCTCCGGTTCTCTCTAAAATTTAGAATAAATGCTTCGTTGCTTTTTGCTTTCTAGCTTGTTGGAAGTCTTCCTCTGTAGTTCCTGTTTTAAGAACTACCAGGGTCCTTTTGACCCCTTCGAATTATCGCCTTATTAGTCTCTTTTTTGGCAAAGTACTTGGAACCTAGGGAAGGTTACTGAATAGAATAATCACACGAAGCTTGGTAATGAACGGTAATACTTAGGACAAGAGCAACACCTATAAGATTCGACTGCGGCGCGTAGAAGTAGTCAACTGCAAGTCAAGTGAATTCCACAATGAATCTCGAACTGCAAACCAATATACAGTATTTAATACTGTATTTATGTGAATGGGAACATATCCATTATCATCCGTAGTTATGCTACAACGCCCCCTTTTTGTATTTCCTCTGTCCAGAATCAATATTTTTTCTTTTTTGATGGACTTCAATCCTTTCCGTATCCCTTCTTTTTCTTTTACTCCGTCTCTTTCGGATTTCTATCTCCGGAGCTTTCTGAAGGATGGGTAAATCGAAAGTATAAAAAAGAACCTCCATAGGTTCAACCTGGTCTAGAGTAGTGTTCTTTTCAGTTGAATACCTACTTTTAATTTGATTATAGTGCCTCTTGTGCACCATTTCAGGATCTTTTATTAAATACACCATCCTGCTAATTCTTCGGACGAGAGTTCCGACATCCTAATATGTTTTATTTGACTGCTACATACGGTAGAAAAACTTTTGGCCAATTTTATAATTTTTTTTCTGGGTTTTGTACCGCATGATCATGTTTTTTTTTCTTATTAGGTATAAGTTTGTCAAAAACTGGTTGTATTTTTCGCGCAAACATAATTTCTGCTGGAGTCATTGCTGAAGGTGCATTTCTGTTCGATGTAAGCCTATACACCTATAAAAATAGCTGTAATACAGCATCTGTGGACCCACCGTTGGCTTTTATTAGAACCCTTTTGAAGTTCTGCCTGGCCGTTCCTTCTAGGATGGTAAAGGGTAATTGTTATGTGCTCTACCACAAACATTTTGCAAAATTCTTTAAATTCATTGTTTAAGCCCGTGGAAAAATCCGCGCAGACACGTACCTCTTTCGCCCAATCGCTATAGGCCACCTTCGATAAAACACCCATTTTTTGAGTCTGTCAAGTTCGTCATCAATTTGTTTTTGCGAAGCAAATGGTACATTTCATTTCTTTTTGAAAACTGGTTGTACATTTTCTTTGAGCTCGAATTTAGATTTCATTTTCTTGCATCTGCCTAACCCACCAGAAAATACGCCTGGGAATTTATTTTTTAATTCTTCTTTTAAACTTTTTGCTTCGTTAGTAAAACCTTTCACTTTTTGGCAGAACGTATTGATCGGACTGTTCCATAAATTGAATTGTTCCATCCAATCTGTTCCAAACAGGTTATTCGTGTTTTTTTATGACAAAAAGTTTTAACTTCAAAGTTTTATTTTTTAACGTTACATTCGTCATAAATTCGCCTTCGAATTTTATTTTCTGTTCTGTAACACGAGTGACTTTACCCAATTTTCTCCATGTATAAACATTTATTATATTCAATTCAGAACCACTGTCGATGTGCAGTCTGATGTTCTTGTTCAAGGTTTTTACCTGCACAAATTTTCTTATAGGAGATTTATCCACATTAGTAATTTTAATATCATTACTCAGTCGTTTTTTAAATTTTGCCTTACAGTCTTTTTTTCCACACCGAAAACATTGTTTCTTTCTGTAAGGACGATCCTTATACCAATGTAATTCATAACAGGGATTAGGAGTGATCTCTTTTTCCTTCTTCACTTTATGTTTTTGATGCACTTTTTAAATAAGCAACACGCTACTTATCTCAATATCTTTGAATCTCGATGAACATTTATAAATTTCTGACTATCTTCTGCTAAGATTTGCAATGTTAAATTGGGTTCATTTTCCAATTTATTTAAAATCCTTTTTCAGATTTCAGCGTCCAGCCCTTGCACAAATATCAAGCATTTAAAATTACCAGGGCTTAATTCCGCCAATTTGAACTTTTCACAATTTTCGTTCACGATGCTCGCTAACGTTGTGAAGTCGTCATCTTCGTTTTTCACTAAATTCATACATTTCCATCTTTGATGGAACAAAGAGGTTTTCGGACTGAAAACTTTCGAAAGCAAACCGTCTGTTTAAATGTTAGGTCACTAGCCTCCTTTGGTAATATATAGTTTACGAACTTAGTGTGTTCGACAGCACCTAATTTCCTTAGCAAAAGTTTGACCTTTTTTATTGTCAGTTTGCACAGTCTTATACAAATCTTCTTAACTACGGAAATACGACGAAAAATTTAACTCTTTTTCTGGTAGACAGTGAAATTCCGTAATCGCATTTACAATAGCGTCTTCAGAATATCCATTCGTATTATCCGTGTACATTTTTTGTTGTTCTACCAACATTTCCACGAGTTTTTTGAATTTTCATTCGTACCGTTTTTGGTATTCGTCTTGCTGTTTGACCATTTCAAGTAATATCGTTTTAAAGTCTTCTATTTTGAGTTTTTCCCAATGAAGTCTTGGTGAATTTTAACGTGCGATTTTGGCGATATCTTTTTTCGCCAAAGTTGTGCTGGAGAACACTTCCTTGATTTGCAGCCAAATTCTTGACACCAAAATACCGCACTAGTGACATTTTCTGATTTGGGTAAATCTTCGTCACTAAAATGTTGTATTTTAGCCAAATCTTGTCAGAATGTTGTAATTTTGACTAATCCCCGTCGCAAAATGTAATATTGGCTAATCCTCGTCACCAAAATGTAACTTAGGGAAGTTTACTGAATAGAATAATCACACGAAGCTTGGTAATGAACGATAATACTTAGGACAAGAACAACACATATAAGATTCGCCAGCGGCACGTAGAAGAAGTAGTATGACACAGAGAGAGAGAGAGAGAGAGAGAGAGAGAGAGAGAGAGAGAGAGAGACACACACACACGTATATTTTTTAGTGAAATTGGAGTAGATTTGAATAGCGAAATTAAATCAGAGCATATTGTTTACTGATGGGGAAATCTGATCTAGGGCAGAAGTTGTACCCATAGAATCTGGGTCATCAATAGACAATGGAAATGGTCGAAATAACTTTTATCGATTAAAAATTGAAATAGAGCTGAGTTAGCTAGAAGGAACTTTGGAATTCACATGATTTTGGTTGAAGCAGTCAGAACCCTCGTTATAACCACGTGCAAAGTAGTAGGGCCGAGGGTCAGTTATAACCAGTCGGGTTTATCTATATAAACCTGTAGTTATGCTGAAAAAGACAGACGGGAGAAAATTCTTGAAGAGAGAAGAGAGAAGAGAGAATTATCCCGGGCGTGCGTTGGGAGGAGGAACGCCACTATAACATTAAGTCCTGCACAGAAATCTTTATCCCTCCATCGCACGAGTCATATATCGTTCTGAGACGATTTAACAACAAGATAATCAAATACTCTCTCTCTCTCTCTCTCTCTCTCTCACTCTCTCTGTCTAGAATCCAGTGTATTAGTTTTTTTTTTTTACTTTTCTTTTCTGTAACCCGTTTCTCTTCTCTACTATTCTTTTCTGCTATATAAAAGACATTAACAATTCAACCATTGAATCGATGTTTGTCCGGCTTTCTGCAGATATTAATTTTTTTTTTGCTGCATTCTAAATTTCTTAGCGTAGACTCCCCAGCCGTGTCTACATCTTCAGTCGACCGTGAATGGACGGACATCACTTCTGCTTTCTGGATCAAACAAATCACAACGTGAGCAGGAAGCAGGATTAAACCAGCGGATCGGTCGAATAATCTACGGCTGCTCAGGGGACCTATGGCCAATCCCTTAAGTTCGGTTAGGACAGAGTAGACACCTTAACCCTGAGAGTAAGACGAGGTTGAGGGGCCGAGGCGAAAGTGTTAGAGTAGTCAACTGCTAGAAGTGAGTCAAGTGAATTCCATAATGAATCTCCAACTGCAGGATATCTACCAACCGCCACAGACGGTCAGATGTGGCACAAGGCCGAATTTAAAGTGGGGTATCCGAGCCTGTAGGCTCGGCCAAAAATTCCCCGTAGACCCCGTTTTATACGGGTAGCTGTTTCCCGAGATGAGTCTCTGCCCTTCGACATAGCCACGTCTGGGGATCCTCTCTGTCCGGAAGCAGAGAGTTTGACCAGCACAACCGGAGACGAATCTCCAACTGCAGAATATTTATTGTACAAAAAGTACAAATATGGCACAAAGCCGAAAAGGGGAAAGGGGGAAAAGGATGGTCATCTTCTGTCTTAACATTAAACTTAGCTAGACGCAAACACTGACCCAATCATATAAACAATATTCCTTTCACCAAAACAACTCATTCATACTTACCATTCTTACTTCATCCACCATAATGCCTCAGAAACTCTATGAAGTCCTAACTAGTCCCCATATATACAATTCATTGTCTGTGGGGGGAGGGGTATAAAATAACAACTTAAAAATCTAAAAACCCCAATGAATATTTACAATGAGTACAAAACTATGTACAAGAAACCAAAAAAATGGTGTTAGTAATAAAACCCTCCGCAGCCCTAACTGTGGCAGAAACATCAGTTAACTGGACGAAATCAATGCGGAACTTTAGAAATATAAAAACATTCGTACAAGCCATACACACACTCATCCGAACACAACAACAAATACGAAAGACACACTCGAAACAAAAGATGCCCCGCATCAACCAGAGAACTGATATCACTAACCACCTAACGATTTAAACAAAAGAAAGAAAATAGGGCCAGAAAAAAAGGGGGCCAATGAGCATATATATTCTAGCTAAGTTTACTTGAAAAAAGAGAAAAAAACTAAAGCAAAAAACGATCTACTCTAACGAGAAGGTTTGCAATTGTTCAACCCAGCAATCCCAATATTCTTACAGCCTAACCGGCATCACTCTGCAGAGACGCGCAAGACTTACCCACCTTTCGCCAAATTCCAATGGATGGAGTCGCTTCCTTTCCGTCCTGATCTTGACTTTAAGCTGATGCTTAAAGAACAGGATCAGTTGAGAAGAGGTAAACTTCTCGGCCCCATGGAATTACTTCTGTCGCGTCGTTCATATCACGACTCGCATAACCCCCGGTAAGCAAAGGAACACAGCCTTAGTCAACGGCGGTTATTGTTACAGACGGAACTGACCTCGAGGACAAAGAACTTTTCGCGCAGCATGCGAACCATGATGTCTTCAACAATCTTGCACAACGGAGCTACAATGAAAGAAGGCGTGACCTAGGGTCTCCATCTCGACACTGCAGCGAACGCAGTTTGTAGACAGCCAAACCCGCTGAACGAAGTCTGTTGGCGACCCAGAGGGCCCCTCGAATCCACAGCCAGGTGAGTGATGCCTCAGTGTTAGTGAGACATTTCAACCCGGGCGCCCAAGGCCATATGCAGCGAGCCACCCGCTTCGTCAGATCGAGCTCGCCTATCAAATCATCTTGAACGTTCCCCCCGAACTAACACCTGATATAATGCCTTACGGGACAACAGCTGGACGTCGGAGAGGCCATCCTTCTTCCGTAAGAGTAGCTTGAGAGCAAGCCGACATTCGCGATAGAAGGAGCCCTCGGCTCGAGGAATACGGCCGGCGTCCTCCTCGCACGAGCGCACACTTCTTAAGGATGGAAATTGTCTCCGTGTGTCTTCCTTCCAGAATTCGCCGTTCTCATCCAACTACATACACATCCGGTCTAGGTAAGTGATGCGAAGCGTATGTTTACGAATCTCAACGCAAGGCACCGCTAGACTGCCATCAGAAGGATGAAAGTAACATATCTCGCGACTAACCATGGCGGCCTTGCCTCCCCACAAGAACAACAAGAGCCTTAGAAACGCCAATAAAGTGTCAGACGGGAGTGGAAGCACGGAGAGTCGGTAAAGAAGAATCGGGTAGATGTGCGAGGCACATACTTCCGCCCTCCCCTTCAAGGAAAGATTCCTCCGAGTCCACAGACAAATTGCGAGCTCGGCCTTCTCCCGCACCCCCGACTAATTCATTTCCAACAAGAGATCGGGACCGAACCAGACGCCGAGCATCTTGACCGGCCCATCCGTCCAGAGAAAAGATCCGGGAAGAGAAACTCCCTTACACGAACCCAACCGCAAGCCAACAGACTTATCGCGGTTGATCTTGGACCCTGTCCCCATCTCAAATCCCTTGATTTCTTTGTTGACTTCGTTAATTTTGGCTCTGCTCAACACAAGAACCGAAACGTCATCAGCATAGGCGGAGTACCTGGCCGAGGTGGTAGCACCAGCTAAGGCAATTCCGCGAAGGACCGGATTCGTCTTCAACTTACGCAGCAAAGGTTCCAACGCAAGAACGTACAGCAATGGAGACAGCGGACAACCATGACAAATGGATCGAGACAAAATGAAAGGTTTGGATCTTACCCCATTCACTTCTACCAGCGAACCGGGGGACGCATACAGCAGTCGGATCTAAGTGCGAAAGTCCGTCCTGATACCGGCGGCCGAAAGGACAGCCTCCAGAAATCGATGGTCAACCCTATCGAAAGCCTTGGACTAATCTAAATTGATCAGCGCGGCATCATTGTCGACTTGCTCGACGATCAAGCGTACCAAATGAAGGTTGTCCTGAATAGTTCTGCCCTTCACAGCACAAGTCTGCTCGGGACCAATCAGATTAGATAGGACAACCTACAAACGGCCGGCTAAGACCTTGGCTAAAATCTTCAACTCTGTGTTTAACATCGTCAAAGTCTGATAATTATCTAACCCATCGCCACCGTCTTTGCTCTTGATCACATCTCTGGTGAAACGTTGAGGTATAGGCCCCTACTTCATCCAGTTGTTTTAAATAAGCGCGAGCAAAGGTACAAAGACGAACGACTGCCTCAGGTACATTTCGTAGGGTAGACCATCTAATCCCGGAGTTTTGTCCAGGCCAACCTGTTTCAGCGCATCCCAGATCTCAGACTCTGTAATGGGGCGCTCGCACCCAGCCGCTTCAGCCGCCTCGAGGCGAGGAAAGTCGGTTAAATAGGCGTCGAACTGAACAGCGCTCAGACCGGGCTTCCTGGAAAACAGCTCCTGTAAGTAGTCACGAAAAGCCTCACAAATGCCCACGTCTATAGTCACAGTCCGCCACTCTGGCAATGTGATGCTTGCGATATGCCAACTAGATGCCCTAAGAGCTTCCTCTGCATGCAATGAACCAGCCATGTTCGTAGCCTCGCAAGACATTCTTTTTATCATAGCCCTACTAGAGCTTGATCCTTCTTGATAAGCAAGGTGGCCAGCTCCGCCTTAGCTACTGCTACGTCCCCACTTTCAGGGGATTTAATCTACTTTGCCCTCAAGAGACTTTTGCGCTGCTAACCCTGCTAGATTGAGTCGACGACTAAAATCAGCAGCAAAAGACCTAAGTTTAGATTTCAGAGAATCTCACCACTTATTTCCAACCACAGCTCCCGACAATTCCCGCTGTAGCATTAGTAGAAGCTGGTCCCGGAAATCTTGCTTGCCAAATAATGATGCGTTCAATTTCCAGTACCCAGACATCTTAACCTTAGGCTTATCTAAGTTTACTCGAACCCGGACAAGCCTATGATCCGAGTAAACTATAAAATGGAAACTTGGACATTCTAAGCCCTACTTCGACACTCGTAACTAGAACTCGGTCGATGTAGCTTGCACTCACCACCGAATCCGAGTTGCCGCCCTTAATCCAAGTCCATACCACCTCCCGGGGGTGCTCATTTCGATACTTATCGACGAAATCAAACCCGTTGATGAAATCCCAAAACGGCTTAACATCCCTGTTGTTAGTACCCAATCTCGACCCTATACGATCAATATCGGGATCAAGGCCGGCATTCCAATCACCCGCTAGAACTACTGAACGAGATGTCATCAAAAACGGCGCGATCTGCTGAAACAAAGCAGCCCGCTGCGCGTGGTCATTGGGCGCGTAAACCCCAATCAGACCAAGAGCCTTATCTTTTATGGTAACATCCAGCACGCAAAGCCTGCCCGCTGGATCCGCGAAGACAAGAGCACATGCCGCATCCAGAGACTTTCTTACCAGCCAGGAAACACCCCACGAGTGTCCATCAAAACATGGTAAATAGAGGACGAATCTCTTAGACAGAATGTCCTCATGGTCGCGAGATAAAAAAAATTGGGTCTCCTGTACACAACATACAAGGCCCAGGACATTCAGACTTGATAACCAGAGGGCCATTATCAGACCGATTAGTGTTGAGATTCTGGTCTGAACATGGTCGGGGTAAGGATGCCGATAGCCTCTCCCATTGACCCATGACCCATCTGTCTTGATGGTACCGTCTTGTTTGAGACCGCCTATATCCCAGGAAATGTCAGTTTCAGAGCTCTATAAAGGGAGAGGCGAACTAAAACTGGGACCCTCCCTGCACAAAACTGTTTCAAATGTTGCAGTTCTTTACTCTCGACAATGGCAATTGGAGGTGATAATTTACGAGATGCTTGCCTCATCTAACATGGCCCATCTCTGTCGAACTCCAGTTCCTGTTCTAATAACTGCTAGAACTCTCTGGGCAAGGGGAAAGTTTTGTGGCTCTTCCACATGCTTGTCAGCATATTACCGGATAGACAGAAGATATTTTAAGTCTTTTATCCGTTTTCCATAGTCTCTGGCATGTTCGGCCTGGGCCGGGGAAATTCTGTAGACATCCTCCCCCGAGTTGTATGTCTTTCTCAGTTTTTTTCCTTTTATCTTTCAACTCTTGCGTAGAAATTCTCTGTCTTTTTGGAGCCGGAGGGGGCATTTCAGGGTTTGTAATGGGAGTATGATGAGGAGTAGATGAGGATCTTTGTTTGTAAGGTCTGGGATCTTTACTGAGGGGAACTTTTTTTGAAGGTGGTGAGAGAGGGGTAGAATGTTTCTGAGAAGAATGCTTCTGATGTGAAGGTGTAGACAAGGTAGAGGACATTGAGGGAATTCCTTTTTTGTTTGGGATTGTTTCTCGTTGTCAAGCTTTTCCTTTAGCTGCTTTATTTTCTACGTTTTCTCGAAACTAGGGTCATACTTTTTTTGTTGTTCTTTTAATGCCGCCTGCGAGACCGGGGAATCGCCCTTAAAGTTGACAGAGGGAGTGGGGCTGTTTGTGCCTTTCGTCCTTGGGGCGGCATGGGATTGGGGCCCCCGCTGTCTGGCGCTTCCCTCTGGCCTTACCAGCGTCCTGCCATTCCCTCTCCATAACTGCACTAGCAACGGACGAAGGCTCTTTGGGAAATGAGGGCTT